CCCCCCCCCCAGAAAACAATGTGAGAACTCAACCAGATTCCTGTAGAAAGGTGCAGATTCAGAGAGTAGAGTAAATCAAGAGCTAAGAGATTTCAAATCCCGCAGAACAGACTCGTTGGTGATGAGCTTTAGGTTGCCCCACATCCCAAGACACAGTGCTTCTCCTTCTCTGAGAGTCAGAAAAATTATGGGAAGTTTACCTCCTCTAAGGTACGAGAGCTGTAATTCAAATTGGTACCTCTGGGGGGGAGTTGTTTTTTTTTTTCCTTTGTTTTAATTTGTCAAATACAGTTGACATACAGTATTTTATGAGTTTTAGGTGCACAACGTAGTGATTAGACCTTTATATAACTTACAAAGTGATCACCCCCATAAGTCTGGTACCATCTGACACCCACATAGTTAACACAGTATTATTGACTCTACTCCCTGTGCTGTACTTTACAGCCCTATGACTCTTCATTCCCTTTTAAAAATAACTTCCGTCTCGTAAAGCTATCTGGGGAGCCTTTGTGCTGTTCAATATACCAAAATTGAGAACTTTATAAGTATTTTAAATGTTATATAATAAATTTTATATCCTATTGGTTTTGGGACCCCTTTTTGTCCCTTGACAAATGGTAAATTGGCAGATTGTTCTGACCTGCTCATGGAACTATGTTCACGAATTTAGAAGGTGCTATTGTAAAACTTTAAACAAAACTGTTCCCAATCTTACCTTTATGCCCTGAGAATGCTACAGAGTTTCAAATGGCCATTTGAGTAGGTTACAAAGCAGAGTAAAATGTCACATTTAATTTAGGATAGATGAAAGCAATGTATAAATACTGCAATATGACCTGTTTCACCTCAGCCTACATAATATGTTTGAAAAGAATAACCACAGGATTTTGACACTAACATCATGGGAATTGAGATGAAAAAGAAAGGGGAGATTTAAATGGATTTTTTGTATGTAAGGGAAATTTTGTTTGAGTATATATGTGAGAAAACATTATTTAAAACAGAAAGGTTTCATGTCCTTTTGCCAGCTGCCTTGAAAGGTTACTTGTGAAATCTGTTCTTTGGCACTTTCTCTTAGAGTGAGAAAATTATGGTCAATATCCAGCTAATTTATCTCCTTAAATCATAACTGAAACCCATAAATTGGATCTACATGCTGGTGAGATAAAAGAAATACCATCTAATCATGTGGTTCTGGCTTTTTTCATTCCTGACTTTGGCACAGTAAAACTAAACCTGACTTTGGGTACTCAGAAATGAATACAAGCATGTAATATATACACTCAACCAAATTTTAATAAGTTTGCTTAATTTTATTTGTATTTCTATTTTGCATTTATTACTATTGTTATGTGAATGTTTATCTGTAGCATTATGAGCGCTATGAATATGTTATATAATTGTGTTTCTATCTAGAGTATTTTGTTAATGAATCTTAGGGGGAAAGTTTCCACATAACTCGTTAAAAAACCATTTTACCTATTACCTTTGAAACTATTAAAAATAAGGAGTTAATTCTTATTTTATTAATTATGTGGGGTTGTTCATTTATATTAACTGTCTTTCTGTTTTTCCTTTTTTTCAGATTGGAGATAAAACTTTCCAAGTCCTTGGTGACCTTCACAGTGAGGGAGACAGCACTTACCTGAAATGTTCTATTAATGGAGTTTCTAGTAAAACTAAGCTAATTATCCTGGAAAACACAATTTACCTGTTTTCTGTGGTAAGGTCTCTTCTTTGTAATAACACTGTTGGTGTTTGGGAGAAAATCGCTTGACCAGAGGCAAAGGGACTAGAAAGATCCCCTTCCTTCAATTGCTGCTGTCACCTTTTCTCTGTGTCTCCCTCTCCACTCGGTTTCTTTGCCATGTCCCTGCCTCCTCTTGTTCTCTTGTTCACAAGGCTCTCATTGATAGACACATATCTGTTTTCTTCCTTTAATTCTAAAATGTCCTTACACCCTTCTTGTCACACTGTCTCCCTGCTCAGTGCGCCTGTCCTCTCAGGGAGCTGATGCCTTAACACTTTCCCCAGCCACCATGCCCCTGGCACTTGGCATCTGGGGTTTGGGAGGAGGTGTCCCAGCCGTTCCCCGTGAGCAAGGCGCGCAGCAGGAAGGGGGTGGGTGCGTGGAGTTCTCTTGGCAGATGGCAGAGGCAGGTCGCATGGATTTGGCTAGGAGTTTATTACGAGACCTTAGTGTTCTGCATGGGCAGAAGGAAGAACGGCTTGTCAAAGGCCCTGTGGCCCCTTCGGGGCCTTGTCACATTCAGGAACCACCGTACAGATCACGGTGCGTAGTGATGAGATGCCTCTAGCATTCAGGCAGAGCATATTGAGTCAGGGATGGCTCACCTTGCCAGGCCTTCCTTCCCCTAGTCCCTGCTGTGACCATGCGACGGAAGAGGCAGTGTGGTGAGTGGTGAGGAGCGTAAGTTCTAAACCATGAAGCTGCTTCGACTCAGGCTCTGGCTTTCCCACTGAGCAGCTGCGTGGCCTTGGGCTTCAGCTGCCCCGTCTGTAAACAGGAATAATAACAACACCTGCCTCACAAGCTTATTGAGACGAATATATATATATGTATTTGTTAAGAATAGTTCCTGGCTCAGACTAAGCACCTGATAGTGGGGCTGCTGCTAACAATGGCTTCCAGACAGTGGCCGACAGTTACCTGTATTGATTCCTCGCACCCCCTCTGAGGCCCGTGCAGCATTGCTCCTGTGTAATGGGAAACCAGAACTGAGAGAGGTGCAGTAATGTGCTCACGGTCACAGAGCTGGATTAGAACCCTGGTCCTAAAGATGACTAACATTGAACAGATAGCTTGACAGCCATCGTTACATCAGGTGCATCAGTAAAATTACAACAATAAAACCTTGATTTCATTTCTGGCTTGATCCCTAATTATAGGAAGGAACTATTCGGTTGGGCATTCCAGTCCCCAAATACTTGTCTTCAGAGAGCTCAGAAGGAACTCAGGGAAGTACCATAGCCCCCATGGCTGGAACCATCGAGAAGGTAATCTTGTGAATGTATGTAGAGTAATGTCCAGTAAGGCAGAATGAATGTCTTTGTTGAATTTTGCCATATAGATTTCTTTTCTCCTCTCTAAATCTCACTCATTGGAAAGCATTCATTTCAAGAAATCAAGAGACTCTATGATAGATTCAAGTTCTATATTACAGTCTTCAGTGAAAATACCCATTTATCTAATTTATGGGTATTTTTATGGTTAATTTATTATAAACACTGTTACAAATTTTGAAAATGGGAATTTCCATAAGAGTACAAATAATTTAACTTGTCTTGTTATGATTAAAATAGAGTATTCACCAAGCATTATTCAAAAGGGCTGTTTTTTTAAAATATGTTTTTACTGATTTTAGAGGGAGAGGAAAGGAGAGGGAGAGAGATAGAAACATCAATGATGAGAGAGAGTCATTGATCGGCTGCCTCCTACACACCCCCTACTGAGGATCAAGCCCAAAACCTGGGCATGTGCCTTGACCGGAATCAAACTGGCAACCTCAACGCTCAACCAACTGAGCCTCATCTGCCAGGGCAAAACGGCTGTTTTTTACTGTTAGATTTAACAGCAAACAATTTATCATGAAATAATGACATTTTCCCTAATGGACAGACTTGCGTCAGTGTTGAAATTGTAAGGCCAGTGTTGGTGAAGCACAGCGCAGTTCGGTGTCCAGGGCAGTGTGTAGTCAGAGTTGAGGTCCATGCTGATAACCCCTCGAGTGGGAATAGATCAGTCGTCTCCTTTCATATACTTGAATATAGTAGAATCCCCCAAGTGTACTTAAGTCTTAAAAATTCAACTGTATATTCTTGGTACCTTCCAAAAAAGAAGAAGGAAAATGATTTAAGTAGTTCGAGTGATTTCCCCAGCCGTCCCCCCAGACCGTTTGCCTCAGAGGCAGTGGGAGTGGAGGCTTCGATCCGCCTTTCACTCCTTCGCCCTTGTCCCCACAGGCCTCCCATGGCGTGGGCGTTGCTGCATTGGGTGCACAGCAGGGCCTTACGTTTAAAGGTGCCTGTTTTCCCCGTCACTGGCCCCTAAACCCAGACCATTGATTTCGTCGGACACTAAAGCCTCACCCAGTATTGAGTGACTTCGGGGTCTTTCAAGGCTGCTTCTCATTTTTCACGAGTTTTGTTCTACGCGTTGACTTTGGAGCCTAACTCTACTGTGTGGCATTTCCAAACACTCCTTCGTTACCATGTTGACAAAAAACCCAGGAGACTGTATGGGATATATGAGTTCATTTAGACACATAAAAAGGAAAATCAAGATATTTTTCTGGGGTTGCCAGTCAGTATGATTCTTTCACATGAAGATTGTTGGTGCAAGTACTGCACCGGGCCGTGAGGACTTGAAACACTCCTAGACATCCTAAGAACTAAAGAAAGTTAGGCAGGGCCCTCTGCTCTGACTGCGGTGAAGACCTTCAAGTACAGTAGTCCTCCCCTGTTGGTGGTATGTTTTGTCTACACATTCATGAAAAAACAAAGGGGTCTCAAGATATATAAGATGTACTAATCTGATTCAAGGAAGACTAGATGGCTTGGGGGCTGGGGACGGGGAACTAAGTAGTGCCTGCCGCTGACAGCAGTGCCAGCAATGCCAGGCTGACCTGTAGGTCTCCTATTGTACCTTTGTCTTGGCAGACAAGACAGCCACAGACTCATGCTTCTGCTGTGTTCATTTATGTATCAGCTTGGACCACGAGGGACCTCTGTGTTTCCAAGTATTAACCTGCCACTCTGAACCTCTAGGTGTTTGTAAAAGCTGGAGACAAAGTTAAAGCTGGAGATTCCCTGATGGTCATGATCGCCATGAAGATGGAGGTAAGTGCAGTCATGAGTTCAGTTGCCAAGTAAACTTTGGGCAGTAGCAGACCTAATGGTTCTTTTCCCTTATTTAGTGAGTTAATACCATTTTAAATATTAAGAGCCATGGATTGATGAAGCATTAACTGCAGGAAAAAAACCCCAAAACATTCTTCTCATTTTAATTTTGTGAAATCGCATTTGTCATTTGATTCTGAAATTAATGAAATTATCAGTAGCTTAGATTCAGGCAGTAACCCAACTGAATATTCGCTGTGGGTATTTTCCAGGGCCAGACCTAGGGTGCCAACTATCAGTATCAAAGTGAAAACCTCAGTCGAATTAAATTAGCTATTTAGGTTTTAAGCTGGTTGGAAATTGTAGGCCAGTAGTTCTCAGACTTGGCCGCATATTGTAGTCACCTGGGAGCTTTTAAAAACTACTTGCCCACACCAGTTGACCTGGGATCTCCCATAGAGGGGCCTGAAGATCAGTTGTTTTTAAAAGCTTCCCAGGTGAGACTATACTGTGAAGCTTGGGAGCATCCCAGTTAGTGACCTTGAGTGGGTTATAGGTGTGTCAGCCCCCAAGCGCTCCTTGAAAATGTTATTTTCTCTGTGAACTGAGATATGAAAAAGGTTGGGAAACACTGATAGACAACGAAACAATTGGCTTCATTTTTCACTTTGAGTCTGACTTGGGTGTGTGAGTGATCCCCTAGTGTCATCACCATTGCTTGTCATGTCTTGTGTTTCTGCAGCACACCATAAAGGCTCCAAAGGACGGCACCATCAAGAAGGTGTTCTACAAAGAAGGCTCTCAGGCCAAGAGACACGCTCCTTTAGTCGAGTTTGAGTAAGAGGAATCTGACGGAAAGGAAGCAGGATACACTCCCATCAAAGAAATGGCCAGTGAAGCAGTATCCTAAGTACAGTATCTCTACACCCAAAAGAGCAAGTGCCTTCCTGCTTCTCTTGGGGTCTGATAAACAGCAGTTTTCCTAAATGATTTTATGATTGTGTCAAAGCCCTTTCATATTTGAGAATCATACACTTGGATCACAAATAATAAATGATCTTGAAATATTTCATACTAATAAAATTGAATTATACTTTTTTATTGGAAGCTAATATGGCTTGTTTCTGCCTCAAATTTTATATAATGTGGTATCTTTTGGGAAGTTGGGCAGCAACATTATCAGAAGGGAATGAGTAGAAAAGGTCATTTAACTGAATTATTTCCCAGTTACAATCATGATAAAAATGACAGTAACATATTTCAGAGACAAACGACATAGAGCTAAACTCACCAAGGTTTTATTTTCACCAACTTATTAGGGAGTTTACAGGCATGTTATCTCTTGTCTTTGTGATTGGAACATTTCTGTCTAGACTGCTTCTACCTTTATTGCATTTTCTAAGGTTGTGCAAATGTATATACAGTCTTGCACCACTTAATGACAGATGCTGTACTAAATACTGTAGGCAGTTGTAACACAGTCGTAAATACTTGTGTACCTAATCATATCTAAACGTAGAAAATGTACAGTAAAAATATGCTATAAAAGATGTTAAAAATATATACTTGTAGAGGGCACTTACCATGGATGGAGCTTGCAGGACTGGCAGTGTCACTGAGTGAGCGGTGAATGATTGTGAAGGCCTAGGACACTACTGTATACTACTGTAGACTTCACAAATACTGCACACTTAGGATATACTAAATTTATTTAAAATTTTTTCTTCAATAATAAATTAACCTTAGCTTACGCTACCATTTTTACTTTGTAAACTTCAATGTTTAAAAAATTTTTTGGCTTTTGTAATAACACTTAGTTTAAAACACAAGCACATTATATAGCTGTGCAAAAATATTGTTTCTTTATATCCTTAGTCTATAAGCTTTTTTCTATTTGTTTACTTTTTAAAACATTTTTTGTTAAAAACTAAGACAAAAACACATATTTAGCCTAGGCCTACACAGGGTCAGGACCATCAAGATGTGTCTTCCACATCCACAACTTGTTCCACTGAAATGTCTTTGGGGCAGAAACATTTGGGGACCTGTCACCTGTGATAACAGCGCCCTCTTCTGGAATCCCTTCTGAAGGACCTGCCTGAGGCTCTTCTGAGGAAGGGTCAATCTTCAGAAATATGACCATGGTGGTTTGCTTAGCTTGTTTCTTTTTTTCATGACAGATTTGCTTGTAAGTAGATAATGCACCAAGGACATTCCTGTTGATGAAAACCTTTCAGTGTTGGGGTCCTTGTTTTCAAACTTTTAAGGAGCTCGATGGAGTCTGCTAAAAACCTGCTAAACCTTTCACTCAGAATTTCCTTGGGGTTTGGGTCTTCTTTTTTCTTCTGCAGTTTCTTTTTCTCTGCCTCTTCAGCTGTGCATCCCTCATTAGCTAGTTCCTCAGGAACCACCTCTAGAAGCTCCTCAATGGCATCCACATCCACACCCAGCTTAGCTGTTTGCCATCACAACCAGAGCCTTGTTGATTTTTAAACTTTGCCCTATGACACCACGATGGCTATGCCACTAGGCAATAGGAAATTTCAGCTCCGTTATAATCTTATGGGACCACTGTCATAGATGTAATCCATCCTTGGCCAAACATCATTATGCAGCACACGACTATTTTTTAAGAATGTAGGGTACTATATATTCTTTTAAAAGTAGAATAAATAAGTCAGAGTTTAAGGCACTTACATATACAACACTATATTGTTGATTTTACTGATTTTGGAAGACTGTAAAGGTATCTCCTGGAACATGCTATTTCACTCAGTGTTGCGATTCCAGGATTCACCTATGTTAACGCTCTTAACCTGTTTTTTTGTTGTTACATAGTATTCCAGTGTGTGTAGTAGCAGTTACTTACCCTTTCGAGCAACTCGGGATGTTTCCAGTGCTTTGCTGCTGTGGGTAACGTGGCGATGAACATTCTTAGTGCATGAGTGCGTTTGTGCATTTATAAAAGTGGGATGCTAGGTCACAGGTATGCAAATGCTCAACCTTGTGAAATGATGTCAGACTTTCTTAAAGGGGCTCTAATAGCCAGGTAAACTTCCCTGCTAAGAAATAATTCAATGTAACCACTACCTGCAAGATAAAATCCAAACCTGCATTTCAGTCTGGCCCCAACCTAAATTTCACACCTTTCTCTTAGCGTTCCCCCCCC